CAGGAAATAAGTGAACACTTGAATCAAAAGGAGTAGCAACATGCTTGCAATCATGAAAGTTATATTTTTTCAAAATTTTCTCAACATAATGTGACTTGTCAAGGAAAATCCCCTCACATCTTCTTGTTATTTTTATTCCAAGAATAAAATTTGCCTCACCAAGATCTTTCATATCAAAATGGATTCTAAGAACATTTTTAGCTACATCAATAACATTCATGTTAGAGCCAAAGATCAACAAATCATCAACATATAGGCAAATGATCACATGTGAATTATTCCAAGACTTATGATATATGCACTTATCACACTCATTTGTTTTAAAACCATTTTCAATCATGCAGGAATCAAACTTTTCATGTCATTGTTTTGGTGCCTGTTTCAAGCCATATAGGGATTTAGTAAGTATACATACTTTGCTTTCTTGGCCTGCTTCAACAAAACACCCGGGTTGGTCCATATAAATTTCTTCATTTAGGTCTCAATTTAGAAAAGCAGTTTTTACATCCATTTGATGAATTTGCAAATCAAAAATTGCAGCCATAGCAACTAAAAGTCTAATGGATGTAATTCTTGTTACCGGAGAAAAAGTATCAAAAAATTCTAGGCCTTCTAGTTGTTTAAAACCTTTTGCAACTAGCCTAGCCTTGTATTTATCAATAGAACCATTCGATTTCAACTTTTTCCTTAAGACCCATTTGCAACGAATTGTTTTACAACCCGGTGGTAAATCAACTAACTTCCAAGTTTTATTAGAAATTAGAGATTCCATTTCATCATTTACAGTCTCTTTCCAAAAAATAGAATCATGTGAAGATAATGCTTCTTTCAAAGTTAGAGGGTTATTTTCAACATTAAACACATAAAAATCAGGACCAAAATCTTTTTCTACTCTAGCTCTTTTACTTCTTCCTAACTCAAAATCAACAACTTCTTTATTTTTTAAAGTTGAAGTAGAAGAACTAGGTAGTGACAAAATATTTGTTCAATCCTTGGACCCCCACTATTTTTAGTATCAAAAGGAAATTTATTTTCATGAAAAATAGCATCACCAGATTCTATTACAATATTATCTTCAAGATTAAAAAATCTATAGGTTGTACTATTTGAAGCATAACCAAGAAAAACACTAGTAGTAACTTTCTTACCCAACTTTGTAATCTTGGGATCCATTAGCCTCACAAAGGCTAGACAACCCCAAACTCTTAGATAACTCAAACTTGGCTTGTAACCTTTCCACAATTCAAAAGATGTCAATTTAGACTTTTGATGAGGCACACGATTCAACATATAACAAGCGGTTAAGATAGCTTCACCCCAAAAATTTAAAGGTGCATGTGACTCAATTAGCATGGCATTAGTCAATTCAACCAAAGTTTTTTTTTCTTTCTGCTACTCCATTAGACGAAGGAGAGTAAGGAGGAGTAGTTTCATGAATTATTCCCAATGATCTAACAAAAAAATTAAACTCATTTGATTCATATTCACGGCCTCTATCACTTCTAATTCTTTTTATTTTTCTTCCAAACTGATTTTCAACCTCATTGAGATAAGTTTTGAAATTTTCAAAAGCATCACTTTTATTTTTCATCAAGTAAACATATGTAAACTTAGAAAAATCATAAATGAAAGTGATAAAATATCAATTACCTCCACGAGTTAGAATTCCACCAAGTTCACAAATATCAGTGTGAACTAGTTCTAACAAATCAGTTTTTCTTTCAACTTTAAAATGAGGCCTTTTAGTGATCTTGGCTTTACTACAAGCCTCACACTTTTCAAAATTCTTTTTAACCATTGGGATTAATCCTAAACTACTCATGATTCCAACATAACGATCATTAATATGACACAAACGAGCATGCCAAAAATTAGTAGAAGAAAGCATGTAAACAGAAGTAGAAGTTTTATTGATTTCAACATTCAACTTAAACATCCCGTCACATGCATACCCCTTCCCCACAAAAATACCTTTCTTCACTATTACATATTAATTAGATTCAATAATCTGTTTAAAGCCTGCTTTATTAAGAAGAAAACTAGACATCAAATTTTTTCTCATAGAAGGAGTATAAAGTACATCTTTCAATGTTAATATCCTTCCAGAAGTAAAACACAATTCAACATATCCCTTTCCAAGCACTTGAGTAGTATGAGCATCACCAAGCATGATGGTTTTGGGATCCTCAAAATGAGTATATTTTTTAAACCAGTCTTTGTCATAACAAACATGACGGTTTGCACCAGAATCATCCCACCATCCATCAACATTCTCAACCATGTTTATGTCGGTAATCACCGCCACAAAAGGTTCTTCGGTAACGTTTGCCTGAGGTTAGGACCACATTTCCGGAATCTGCAAAATCGAGCAATATACCCACTCTTGCCACAAACAAAGCATGGTCCCTTTCCTTGAACTTGCTGATTTTGTGCTTGGTGATTTTCACCATTATTTTTCTTGGGAGGTGTACCATTATTTTTCTTGAATTTTTTCTTCTTAGGCTTTAAAGAAGTATTTTTGTGAGTTTCAGGAGTAGCATTATTCAAAGCAATTAAATTTACCTTCAATGTGATGTTGTTCTCTTCTGTTTGTAAAAGTGCATCTTGGCCCCTTGCTTCTTCTTCCATGCGAATTTTCATTATCAATGATTCAAGAGAGGTTTCCTTTTGTTTGTGGCGCATAGTTTTTTGAAATTCCTTCCAAGAAGGTGGAAGTTTATCCACTATGCCACAAACAATAAGGTTATCTCCAATTTTAACCTCTTTGGACCTAAGCTCTCCAACAATCATTATGAAGTCTTGAGCTTGATCTACCACTGATTTGTTGTCCACCATTTGGAAACGAAAAAATCTACTAGCTGCATATTTTTTCGCTCCTGCCTCTTCGGTATCATACTTACTCTGCAGTGCCTTCCAAATTTTCTTTGCACTAGAGCAAGTTCTATCATAATAATCATAAAAATTATCAGATAGACAATTAAGAAGATAATACCGACACTTATAGGAATCACCATCGTACTTTTCCACTTTCTCTAGATGAGAAATAGTTTCATCATCATTCATAGTGGTGATGTTTCTTTATTTGGATTCTTCTCTGTTAATACATAAGAAACATTGAGAAGACTTAAGTAGAAAAGTACTTTACCCTTCCATCTTTTGAAATGATTACCATTGAACCCAAATGGCTTGTTAAGATCTCCCATCTTGACATCCGCGGTTTTTTCAATTGTAGCCATCATTGAATCTCCTTAAAATTGTTAGTGAAAAAACTTACAAGATAATAAAATTGCAAGATTACAATTGAAAATAAAATGAAGAAAGTAATCTCTTCAGGCTGAGGCGCGGATATCTCGCTATCTTTAAGGAGATTCAAGCCTACTGCAGCAAATGTTTTCACCGGTCCAGCAGTAGTCCTCTTTGACTTGTCCCCTCCAGGATACAACAGCCTTCACAAAGTATAACTCAACAACTCTGGACAAGAGTTGAGTCCAAAGCTCCACAAAAAACAACACCTCCCTTCAACTAATAAGAACTTTCTTTTAGACTAACTCTTTCACTCTTTGTTTTCTCTTATGAATTGTGTGTCTCGAAAACCAAATGAAGACTACCACTATTTATACTACAAGAAGTCTTCCTAGCAATGAATAGGAAGATAATGGAGGTAGTAAATAGTGAAGATAATGGTCTTAGGAGTTTCATAGGTTACAATGAGAGTTACATAGGTTACATAGGTAACAATGAGAGTTACATATGTTACAATGCGAGTTACATGTGTTACATAGGTTACAAAGAGTAATGGAGGAATTAAGAATGAAATACATTGATGGATAACCAATGCTAATGGATGTTGTAGAAGTCATCCATTCCAATGTTCATTCTTATAACTCAAAAATAAAGCAATTAATATGTTAAATATTAATATTAAAATGCTAATAACCTAACACATTTCATTCGATGGCACATCAATATCATCTCAGTCAAGGATTGAAGTAGAGAGGGCATCCATTAAAGAGGATTGTAATGGCGGTGATACAACAGAAAGGAGTGCCACCTTAAGGGAAAAGGTAAAATTTGAGTATAAATGTCCCTACACTGCTTCACCAAGATGGTGGGATTTTCATAGCCTTTTAAGAAAAGCACCACTAAAGCCAGGGAATCCTGTTTATCCAGATAGGCGAATATCACACCACCCAAATTTAAGAATATTTTCTTTCTCTGAACTCAAGGTCACCACCAGAAAATTTAGCAATGACACGGTGCTGGGAGAAGGTGGTTTTGGTAGAGTTTACAAGGGTTACCTTGTTGAGTAGCTTTCTTCCAAGAGTGGCCGGACTGTAATTGCTGTTAAGCAATTGAATTGTGAAAGCTTTCAAGAGTGACAGGTGATTCCTCTGTGCTATTCTGTAAGTTTTTTATATGTTGTCTACATATATATATATATATATATATATATATATATATATATATATATATATATATATAT